ATTCATCTAAATGTTCTTAAATTTCCAAGCTATCCTAAAAGAAAAACCTTAGTCCCTAAGTGCAAACCTTAAGTAGACCATACCCTAAGTGAAAAACCTTAGGTTACCATACCCTAAATGCAAAATCTTAGGTAATTTAAATTTTAAGTGAAAAACCTTAGATAATTCTGATTTTAAGAGAAAACCCTTAAATAATTTAGATTCTAATTGAAAAAACCTCAGACAATTTAAATTCTAAATGAAAAATCGTAGACAATTCAAGCTCTGAGTGAAAATCTTAGACAATTCATATATAAAGTGAAAAATCTTAGACAATTCAAAATTCGAGATAAGTAAACTAGAAGTCCTAAAACTTGTTATGAAAATACAATGGAGTTCTAAAACTTTTGAAAAGTGCAATCAAATTCTAAAACTTCTTAAGTTTGTGCAATCAAATCCTAAAACTTGTTAGCATTTTCCATTTGTCAAAGTGGATAGAGTTAATAGAATGACTTGATTGTACTTTTTAGAAATTTTAGAACTCAACTGCACTTTCATAACAAGTTTTAAGAGTTGATTGCACTTTTTGGAAATTGTAGGACTCCATTGCACTTTCGTAACAAGTTTTAGGATTTCCAGTACACTTTTCCCTTCAAAATCTAAGTGAAAAACAGTAGACAATTTAAATTATAAGTGAAAAACTTTAGACAATTCAAGCTCTAAGTGATAAACCTTAGACCATTCAGATCTTAAGTGAAAAACATTAGACAAATTCTAAGTGAGAAACTCCGATTACCCATCTTTGAAGTCCAAAGTAAGTGGCTACCCATCTTTTTATCCATTACCAAAACCTTGCGAGCAAAAACTTCGGTTACCCATCTTTGATGTCCAAAGTAAGTGGCTACATGTATGTATTTCATTCTTTTATTTGCATTTTCATTACATTTTATCGCATTTTAATCCTGCGATGAGTTACTCTAGACAATTTTTATCCATTACCAAAATCCCGCTAGGAAAAACTCCGGTTACCCATCTTTGAAGTCCAAAGTAAGTGGTTACATGTATGTATTTCATTTTTTTATTTGCATTTTCATTACATTTTATCACATTTTAAAAAGTGGTAATAGTCTTATTTAGATCTATCTTTCTGACAAAAAGAATCACTGTGCATTGCATTTCCATGGTGGAAATTTAGGAATTATTTCTCTTTGAATGAAACATATGCTAACTCATCTTCAAAGAGGGGTAGCTATTGACACATAAATTTTTGTTATTCCTCTTAGTCATTTATTGTGTAAGAATATTGGAGATCGACCCTGATCTCTAAACAAAAATACCATTATTATAGTTCATATTCGCATTTTATTTAAGTTATGCATCACATGCAAGTTACATGGTCTTAATATGATGTTACCACGGATCATCGGGCGAGCAATCAAGAGCTATGGCCAGCCATATCCATAGATGTAGTTTATACTCCAACTCAACTCCTTGTTGATGAGGTTTGATCTCCAATGGTTAGTCGATTCAACGGTTATCCATTCAATTATATTTCGATCTGCCTTTGAATGAGTCTAAAAGAGAGGGGCTAGTCATTTGAAGGATATTTTATACTATCCACATTGTCTCAAACATGATTTAATCGGTATTATCTGCGGAAGAGATAATGATCAAAATTGATCAAGCTTTTGGGATGGTTTTCGAATCCGATCAAGCTATTATTGGAAAACCCTTAATCTTAATTCAAACTCAAGCTAATGGAGGTTATAAATACCTCTCTTGGCTGAGCAAGAAGAGGGGAGGGGCGCGCGGAAGATTTTGAGAAAACGGCGAAGCTCTTTTTGTCGGCAGCAAAAAAATTCCAACGTGCAATTTCACGAAGTCAATGAATACGCATTCGTTAACTGTTGGATCGTGCTCAAAATTTGTGGAAAGTATGGTAAGACATTGTTCTTGAGTTTTTTTGTTGAGATTGATGAGAAAATATTTGGAAGTAAGTATTTTAAGGAGAAAGTTGGACTTGTCAGACCTCTAGAGAGTCTAACACGCGGTCGCACGAAAACGGTGAGTATGTGCTCATTCTAAGTCGGAATGTGTTGAAATTTTGAGGAGACCTCTACAATAGTTAGTTCTTCAGATTCACCAAAGGATTCAAGTATTGAAAAACTAAAGATCCCCTTATTACATTCACAGTCCTAACGTTGCTGTTTGCCATCTCTTGTTGTTCTTTCCCGGTCACCGCCATCGTGAATCTTCCCCTCGCCGTCAGTCGTTTGAGTCGTTGATTTAATTCAGGTAATTTCCTAAGCTATGTTTGATTAATATATTCAATTGCCTAAATTGTGGTTATTTAATTCTAACACAATTTGGCATGAGATTTTAGGCATATCCTAATTATGAAATTTCGTCTTTTGATTCGTGCATATAATTGAGGTTTCCATCTTAAAGACTTAAGATCAGATCTCCGATTACCTTTGTTTCGTTTTCTTGAATGTGGTGAATAATTGATTATGTGGGTTTGAATATTGTATGTTACTGATTTAGTAAATTTTCCTATTATGAAAAGTACAAAAAATTGCATTGCATATTAAGATAGATTTTCATTCATATTAGTGTTCTAATATAGAATTGCATGTCATGTAGTAATTAAGAAATTTCCAAATTTAGATTAGGATTTAATATAAATTATTTCCTAGTTTAAATTAGGTAATCATATGCTTTAGGCAGTTTCCTATGCTAGTTTAAAACAAAACCATAAAAATAATTGCATATATATTGCATCGTTGTCACACCATCATTGTTGTGTCATAATGTTGCCATGTCATCAATTCCATGTCATCTCATCCCATGTCATAATATTCAATTCTTACATATCATATTAGATTAATTTTCAATTCTTCGGACCGTCATTAGAATAGAATCAGGTTGCAAATAGATTGCAGTTAAATTAGGATCACAAACATAAGAAAGATTAAAATTGCATCTAATGCATTGCATATAGTTTAATTTTCATTTTAAAAAGAAAACCCCAAAAAGAATTTAATTTCATTGCATTTAGAAATCATGTTTAGGCCACCGTGCATTTTTTAATTAACATCTTGCAGATAGGATATAAATCATAGAGAAGTTATGCTTTGCTTAATGCAGTGAAGTTTGCCCTATTTCTAGCAATTTATTTACTCCTTTGATTTATTGAGTGTTACATTATTGATTGTGCACCCACGTTAGTGGTTTAGGCTTAAAATTGACCAAGACGACCTATAAACATTTTTTAAATAAAGAAAAAATGTACCAAAGGGCGTTAGATTAATCTAGCATAACCAAGTCCACATATTGATGATATCTCTAGTTTGCGTAAGTGAAAATGTTCTTTCACAGTTTATTTAAGTGTCTAATCGACCTACCAATAATTAATTAGCGGCGACTCCTGTATAAAATGATTTGCATGTTCAAATTGATTAAACTAAACCCTGAAAGTTGCGGTTGCTGTGGGCTTGGAAGAGTCCACAATAAGTTTTTAGACTTAGTAATCCATTAACTTTCCCTTTGGTGGTTCACCTCTGGGAAGATCACGACATGCTTTATCTACCGTAGAATAGATTGTGTCGAAAAATCCTTGTGGAGCGGTTAAAAATACAACTGGAGTTGATGTTCAGATGAGGTCCATGATTATGTTAAAGTTCATGTGTAGCTAGGACTTGGAAGATGCTTGTGGCAGTAGAACCCATGAGGGGTTATGGAAGCGTATTAGCGAAATTCGGGTTCTAGCAAAATGATTTTGACTTGGCTCAAACATTAAGTCATGTGGAGATTGTTGAATATATGTCTCGAGTCTAAGCCTGAATAGGTTTCTTAGTTGAATAGTTTTCAAAATGGAGTAAGTTTCCCAAAAAGAAATTTCATATTTTAGATCGGACTCTTGTCTATATATAAGAAGTGTCTTCTTTGTAAAGAACACCCAAGAAGCAATTTCTTTGTTAATCACATCCTGAGTGTTTGAAGCCGTGAAAATCTTGTGAATAAGGTTTTGTGTAATTCCTTCGTGAGATTAAGAGATTATTTTGTGATGAATTGTGAAGCTAAATCTAGGGTGAGGTTATTGGATATAATTAGGGACTGGGAAATACTTGGATTAGTTGAGTGACTTGAGTGTGAATGTAATCTACATTATATTGCTTGATCAATAATGGAATTCTTTTCTACTTTTCTCGTGGATGTAGGTAACACTGATTGAATCACGTAAATTTATTGTCCAATTTATTTTCACGTTTTACTTATTTTATTGTCCGATCACTTGTTTTCGTGACAACTTCAAGGTTCACGAATTCGAAAACTGAAATCCAAAAATCATACAAATCCTCCCATGGTTGAGATCATTTTCACAGAAAAAGAGTGCTCTTAGTACTCGATGGTGATGACAAAGGATTACGCGGAGGCTCTTAATTACCTAATCATAGCCACTTGATCCTCATATATCGTTTCCAATCCAACCAAAAACCCTTCAGAACGACTCCTATTTCCACGCCGACAGAATAGTGTTTGACATTACGGCATTCATTGCCCTAGACACGCCTTCATTGTTCGTGATATCGAACTCACGTACGAACAGACTATCATTGATGCGCACAACCACAAAATTCTAATAGAAGAAACTTGTCTTAATCAGATGTTTTCCCGATCATTCTTCTGTGTAGCTCTTTTTCAAGTTGCTTCCGACACGTACCCTCCTTGTTTTTGGCATATTCCCTTGATTGGCCACTGATGAAAATGAGAAGGGAGAGAAGAAGCTAACCCCTAATATCTCGGGAAAGAACAACGATAGCTATACTGCAGTTGGTTTTGCTAAATTAGTTTATTAAATGATGCGACGGATTTTAACCTGTCGTTTAGCACGATCAATTTACTTCTATGTCCATTGCGATCACGTGCATCAGATTGTAAACGCGGTTTTGTTAACGGGTATTGCTCTTCATAGTCTTAAGTATGGCGAAGAATCATAGGAAAAAACGAAAAGAAGAGGATAAAGAAACCTTCAGAAGCACCTTGAAAAGCCAATACCGATCACAGTAACTGGGGTACGTGACATGAGAGAAGTTCAACGAAGCGATCTTACTTGTCTAGAAGATAACACCTAAGCATCGAATCTGTGAGCTTTTGGAGCTTTTGGACTCAGAAAGGAAACAGAGAAAAAGCAAAGGAAAAAGAAATAAAACAACAGGTAGACACATAATCAAGAAAGATATGGTTTTCGTTCATCTTCACATCCAATCATATAGATTTTCCTGTAGAGAAAGGAAGCAACACTTATCTCTCAAGCCTGAATTGCACAAAGAAATTCTGAAACAGCACACGACCTTCCCTCACTTCTTGTCCTTCTCGTCGTACTCAAGAAGCTCCTCGAGCAGCTTGTCGTCGTAGCACTCGAACTCGAACACCGGCCTCCCCCGCCCGCTGCCGCCTGGCGGCCTCTCCTCCGCTGCCCTCCGTGCTGAAGAAGAAGAGGAAGGGGAGGAGGAAGAGGCCGAGGCGGAGTTCGCCAACGACGGGTACTCGTGGGGGAAGTTGAGGATCGCCGTCTGGCCCCTCATGTTGTACGCTGCCCGGTCGTAGGCCCTCGCTGCCTCCTCGGCAGTGTTGAACGTCCCGAGCCACACGCGGGCCCCGTGGCGGGCCGAGTCGCGGATCTCCGCGGCGAACTTCCCCCACGGCCGCCGGCGCACGCCCCGGTACCGGACCTCCGACGACGACGGCGGCATGTCCTTCCCTTTCGGGTCCTCATCCATCTCCCTCTCCCGCTTTCCCTCTCCCTCTCCCTCTCAAATGGCCTCTATGAAGTTCTTTCTCTTGCTGCTTGCAACATGTGGGGATGATAGTGAGGAGTGATTTGAGCCTTGGGGGATATATATATTTGGGTCAGCAAAAAGTCACACCGGTTTTGGCACAAACCAAGTGGCTAGGGCACGCCACGTGGCGTCATCTCTGAGCTTCCTGAGCAGTTCGGCACGTGCTCAGGAGGGGAGCGGGAGAAGCTTCGATTGAGACCAGAGCGTACTTGTGCAATGTATCTGGTCTTGGTCAAGGCGATGGCTTTGGGAATGCCTCGGAGCCTTCTCTCTCTCTCTCTCCGAATCATTCCGTCACTTTCTGGCGTTGAATAACATGATTAATTTATGTGATTTTATTAAATGGGGTTCTTCCTTTTGTTCTTTTGGTGCGCTTCAGATGGGATCACGTGCTCGAATTGTATAGCTTTGTTCGGATGCCGCGAGTCTTCAATTTGGGTTACGTTTCTTTCCTCTACGAAGTTAGTATTATTGTGATTCCCGTGAAAACCCTTTGACCATTTCAAGAGACCATCTTCAATGGACCGTGCCGATCGAAATCGGTCAAAAAGATCACTCTTTTTGTGCTTGTGCTTGATTTCTCACGTCCAGCTCACGCCCGTTCATGCATATTTCCCCTCGTCGATCGTATCAAGTCGATCTTTTCCAAGTAATGGGAAAGAAGAGGAGGAATCAGTCAATCCCACCACTGAAGAATGTTGACCGAGGGGCAGTTCGTGATTTGCTTTTTCCCCTCCCTTTTGTGACGTCATAAATGGCGGAGTTGCGCGACGGGGCCCTCGCGTACGGAGGACCACGACGTGGAAAGTCGCAGGACGAGTCCTCGGGTCAAACGGATGTTGCCTCTCGAAGGAGCACGAGTTCGACACGTGGGTGCCCTTGGCACGAGTTCGACATGTCGCGTCCACGTTGGAACTCACTTTTGGACTTTTCCAGAGGCAAAACGTGGGGGGAAAATGTTTGTGAATTGTTCCTCGGAAGAAAGGTTTGTTTCATATGAGAACAGTGTAGGGACGGAATCCATAAGATGTCAATCCTAAAAGAACTGACGAGTGGAGCTAAGATTAACGAAAATTTCGCATTATTGATCGATAGAGAAACCAAGAAGTAACTTTCGAATCTCTGACTCGAAAATGTTGGATAATCGAATCCTAAAGTTTTTCTACGCTACAAGACCCCTAAGTTTATAGATATATGCAAACGAGTTCTATCTTTGCCTGTTATTACTAACCATCTTAAATTGTCGAATTGAGTATGACACCTAACTGATGTCATGTAAGCAAAACGTAAAAAGTAAGGAGAGAAGGGAAAAGTATAAAAAAAGTCTTAAACCTATTCAGTCATAAACCTTTCAATTGAACCAATTTAATCCTAAACATTTTTACATTGATACCAATTTAGTTCATCCGATCAATTTAGGCTGAAAATCGCTGGTGTGGACGCCGGTTGTCCTATGTGGCACGGCTGGCGTTGACGTAGATAATTTTTTATAAAGTTTTGAATTTTTTAATAATTTTTTTCTTTTTTCCTTTTTTTTTTTACTTCCTTCTTCGTGGCCAGTCGCCGGTGGTGAGGGCATCGCGGCCCTCGCTAGCCATAGGGGAGGGTCGCCCTCACCGACGAGGACGAGGGCGAGGGTTGGACCCTCGCGGCTTGGGCAAGGGCATCCCTCGCCGAATTTGGCAAGAGTTGGACCCTCGCGGCTTGGGTGAGGGCGGCCCTCGTCGGATTTGGCAAGAACTGGACCATCGCGGCCTGGGTGAGGGTCGCTCTCGCCAGATCCGGCAAGGGCGGCCCTCACCTAGGCCGTGAGTCGCCCTTGCTAGATCCGGCGAGGGCAACTCTCCCCCAAGCTGCAAGCCATAAGGGCTGGACCCTCGCGGCCTGGACAAGGGCGACCCTCCCCTGTGGCTGGCAATGGCCGTGATGCCCTCGCCTGTGGCGGGATACCGACCATAGCCCAAGAAGGAGAAGGAAGAGAAAAAAAAAGAAAAAAAAAAGGAAAAAAAATCAAATATTCAAAAATATTAAAAAATTACATGTCATCACCGGCTGGGCCACATAAGATGACTGGCATTCACGTCAACGATTTCCGGCCTAAATTGGCCGAATGGACTAAATTGATATTAATATAAAAAGATTTAGGACTGAATTGGTATCAATGTAATAAGTTTAGGATTTTTTTTGTACTTTTCCCGAGGAGAGAAAGAGAGGGCACAATTGCCAAAATAAGAAGAGCTATACCGAAGAGTTGGACTTGACCCCATGCAACAAAATATATAAACACATAGTTTTTTCTTTTGTCAAAATATAAAAAGCATAGTTGAATCAATGATTTAATCGTCGTAGTAATGAGAGAAATAACCTTTTCTCCAAATGTGGTCGCACCAAGCTATGTTACACAATCAATATGGTCTAAGTAGATCAGGTCGGGTATAGAGGTTAAAAGTCTCATTGTCCAAGGCCACTCAATGATTAATACATTTATTAATCTTTCTTTATATAAAATTAACGAGGTTGAGTTGCATATAAATTGATGAGCTTTGGACCAAGAAGAAAAATACTTACCTAAGCCTACCTAATTTGTACTTCTCCCTTAACAAGGGTGGGCTCGACAGTCTACTAAACCCAAGATCAGATTAAGATCACGACACCCTAGCTTCTACCTTTTGAATTTCCATTTCCTCCCCTTTTCCCTTCACACCCATGATCCCGTTTCACGTCTTACCTGGTTGTCCACACATATGTCTATGATTGGATAATTTTTTTTTTTTTTTGATAATCGAGGTGTCCGCGCGGCCGGCGAGCTAGGGCTCAAACCGGCGGTGATGCCCGACTAGTCCTCGAGGGGGGCTAGCGCAGCATCCCACCGCCACGACCCCCCACTTAAATCACCGATGGGCGAGTTTTGAACCCAGGACCTCTCGTGAAAGGAACTGAGCGCAAACCAACGCGGCCACCGATGGGTGGGTCTGATTGGATAATTTTTGCAATGATATTTTTCGATTTTTTATTTTTCATTTTTTTTTTACTTTTTCTTTTCTTCCCTTCTTCCTCCTCGGCGACTAGCCAGAGGCAAGGGCCGGCGATGGTGCAAATCTCAGACGTGCACATCAAGGAGTGCTCATTCTTCCAATATATATCTGCACAAAAACCATATTAAGGCTCCGTTCGTTTCATGAAAAATAAATTCCGAGAAAACGTTTTTCGGCGTTCGTTTTACGGAATATAAACTAATCATGGAAAACATTTCCCTCGATGGAAAAAACACCTTCAAAAGTGTGGAAAATGTTTTCCTCTTTTTGCCCCCTCATTCTTTCACCATTCATTTTAATTATTTTAATTTTATTTTTTTAATTCTAATTTTTAATTATTTTTAATTATCCTTTTTATTTTTCTTTTTCTTTATTTTGGACCTTCTTCTCCGACCGGTCGCCAGCTACGGGCGAGGCCTCGGCGCGCCTCGCCGCGCCTCGCCGCTCACCAGATCCGATGATGCTTGACCTCGACAGATCTGGCAAGGCAAGGTGGTCACTCACCCAAGGCCGGCGAGCTCAAGCGAGGCCTCACTCAATGCCGCGAGGCGAGGCTAGGCCACGCCAGAGCTTGCCGGCCTCGGGCGAGTGAGGCCGAGCCTCGCCACACCAGATCTAGCAAGGCGCCGGCCTCGCCCAAGGCTGGCGAGGTGAGGCTCAGCTTCACTCGAGGTAGTCGGCCTTGGTCGAGGAAGGCCGAGCCTCGCCTGTGGCCGGTCGCCGGCCGTCACGGTGGCCGGCAACTAGCAGGGAAAGAATAAAAGAAAAAAATAAAGAGAAATATTAAAAATACTTAAAATTAAAATTTGAATTTTTTTAAAATAAAATAAAATAAAAAATTATTAAAAAGAGTACAAGGAAGAAAATCAAATCAGATTTTCCATACTAAATGGCGGAAAATATTTTCCGGGTTTTTTTTTCAAGTTTCAGCCGAACACCGAAAAATATGGTCATTTTCCTAGAAAATGACTTCCTAGAAAATATTTTCCAGAAACTATCATATTTTTCGTGAAACGAACGGAGCCTTAGAAATAGCGCGAACAAACCGCATCGCCCAACGAGATCAGAGAAGTCGAGTGATTCAAAATCTAATTGGAGCTTGCACAAGCAAAGCACCGAGACGAAATTTAGTGTATGCGGAATCGATTTAGCCGGAAAAATGAAACTGACAGAGGAGCTGGAATCTGGCGAAGGGGACGATGAAGAGGGCAGGCTGAAGGACACGGGAGCCGAGATGGTTTTTCAAGAGCTTCGGGGAAGGGAGGGTCAAGTGGAGAGCTAGGGCTGCTTCAATAGCAACCACGTACGTCAATATCATCCACTACAACGCCATTTTCCCTCTTGAGCTTCTCCAATCGAAGATTGCGCTCGCATGCGCACTCTCTCTCTCTCTACATCACTAGGCGAGGGTGAGCCTTGCCCAGGGACGCCGGTGAAGTCGACCTCGCTGGCCCTCACCTTTGGCTGGTCGCCGAGGCCTGGCAACCGGCTAGAGGAGGAAGAAGGGGAAAAAACAAAGAAAGAAAACAACAGAACAAAAAGGAAAAAGAACAGAAAAAATAAAATAAAAATCAAAAAATTTTAAAAAAATTATTCACGTTAGCACTGGTTACGTCACACAGGATAGCTAACGTCCACGTTAGCGATTTTAACCCAAAATCAATTAGATTGACTCAATTGGCAAAAAGCGAAAAGGGTTTATGACTCAATTGGTAAAATTGAAAAGTACAATAGGTTTATGATTTTTGGATAATTTTTTCTTATTTATATAACTCAATAAGTTAACCCTTGAGTGGAAGTTGTTGTCCTGACATTTCCCCTTTCAATTTGAAGGACAATGCATCAACTTTGGGCTAGAATGACATATCAATATGTGTACACACAACAATTGCGTTTTCAAGATTAAATGGGCTAAGAACCTACGAGAAATATGGACATCAACCGCATATTACTTTAACTATAAATAAATGTGGGTGGT